CTCAGAACCAAACCCAAATATATATATATATATATAAGGATCGGTATTTGACAAAATCCCAAATACTGATTTCCCATGCGCTAGACCCTATGATGATAGCGTGTCATGTCTTTAAATATTCGAAAACCCAGTGTCACTGGGGATCAAACCCGTGATCTGAGGGGACTTATAGTGAACCCCGCCAACCAATAGGCCACGGTAAATGCACTCTTAAAGTTTTGTTTTTCCCTTCAATGAAAATTATTACAAAATAATGTCCTAACTTAAACTTGTTTAATTACAGTAGAGATAGAAATAGTGTGAGATAAAGTCGATTGTTAAATGATGTTGGTTTCAAGCTAATGGTCTGATCATGACGATTGGGTAATGGTGGTCTGACGACGATAGCCATAGAATAATGATCAAAAGATGATGGTTGCAATATGGTGATTGGATAAAGACAGATTATGATTTCAACTAGCTAATGGTAGTTATTGCAGTCCTCAACATTTATCTTCAAGCATAATTTTAAAGTACTTTCGATCTTCAAGTTCTTTATACTCAAGAGCCAAGTCTATATTCCTTCGTGTGGCGAATGAAATTCTATTTATGATTTTAAAAATTAACATTTTAATATTTTTTGCAAAAATATCAAATAATTTCTCAGACTTTTTGCAAAAATATAAAATCATTTCTCGGACAACTCATATTAATTTATTTGATTAAAGATTAATAATTTCGCATTTATATATCATAATAACCATAAATTGTTTGATCTTTCTCATTGATTTAATTGTTGACCTCATGTTGATGCCTCGTTTAAAATCCTTGATTGCAAGACTCCTCATTTTGAAACACAATTAATGTTTTAGAAAAAAAAATTATCACACTTTGGGCTTACTCAGACTTAAATTTGATCACTTTTAATGCTATTAAATTATCTCGTTGTGACATTCAATTTGATTATAAATTCACTAAAATTTAAACTCGGATTTTCAAGTACTTCTCTAAAAGTTATCTCATCTAAAGTCCATTAAGATTAGTGCTCAAAACATATCAAACATGGCTTTGGACGAGATTAAACAAGCTTGTTTTCAACCAATATGAGACTAGAGATCAAATCATTCATTGCCTCCATGATGGCCTAATGAAAAATATGGTGATTAGCAATATAAGAAACTTTTGATAATTTTGGTTTAAGAACACATAATTTTTTTTATTTTTTCTCATTATTTTTTAAGAACACATAAACTATGATTGTTTAACGAAAGCAAATGGTAATATTAAATTTCAATAGTGTGGATTGTTCTACATTAAATCATACATGAACATTACCACAACAATGAAAATATATTCAATTGTCATATTATGTATTTTATGGGAGTAAAGTATGAGACTAGATATATAAATACATAGGGATTGAGTGATATGTAAATCTTCCAATTTAAAATCTTTATTATCCAACATTTAAACAACTTATCTTATGGGCTAGCATATCATAATCATTCAAGATATGATGATTATGATAAACACTGCAATCATGATAAAAATTCAAAAAAATTATATAATTCATGATGTGATATTTATGATCATTGATACTAAAATATTACATGCTTTCACTACTTAACACTTTTTTTTTTCACACACCCAACAACAACAACAACAACAACAACAAAGTCTTAATCCCACTACGTGGGGTCGGTTACATGAATCTTTTTTCTCCATTGCGTCCTATTTAGTGTCATATTTTCATTTAGTTCTAGTGAATTAAGATCATTTTTAATACAATAAGCCCAATTCTTCCTAGGTCTACCTCTGCCTTTCTTAACACAAGTCGAATTTAAAACATCTACTCTCCTAATCGGATCATCTAATGGTCGACGTTTAATATGACCAAACCATCTAAGCCGACTTTCTCTAATTTTGTCTGTCACAGGAGCTACACCAACCCTATCACGAATATATTCATTCCGCATTTTGTCTTTTTTTCACACACCCATATGTGCTAAATCTTAAACTCGAAGAAAGCTCTCAGCCATTAGGCCAAATAGAGTGCAACAAAAAATGATAGAATTGGGAAGTAACAATCAACTAATTTCCGAGGAATTTGTCCATTAATGCTTAGCTAAGAGAAAAAAAAAAGAGGACTTTCTTATATTATATATAGACATCAACATAGCTGAAGAAACACTGAAACCTTCTACCCTCCCATCTCCCCACAATACCATGGATGATTATTCAAGGACTCAACTTCAGCTTCCTCTCATAGATATATCTCAGCCCCTCAACTCTTCTTCGCTCACCACCCTTTCCCAAGCTTGCAGAAACTAGGGCTTCTTCTACATCAAAAACCATGGCATTTCCAAGGATTTGTACACCAAATTCTACAACTTTTCAGATAACATTTTGAGCCTTCCACTGGAAACCAAACTCAAGTTAGGCCCCTCCTCCTCTCTCAAAACCTACACTCCACATTTCGTAGCATCGCCGTTCTTCGAGAGCCTTCGAGTCTCCGGACCCAACTACTACTTGTCCGCAAAGAGATCGAGTGATGTCCTCTTTGACGCCCCAAAGCATGACCTTTGGTAGGTGCAGATGTATTCCATCATCCTACATAATAATATCAATCATGAACATTATTCTCAAGGGAAATTTACATACTTAGCACAGAATTCTTATGCATTTACATATCTCACACTTAAACCTATAAATTTAAATACAAAGCAATTTGGTGCTTTAAATCTATGCATGAAAAGGTTCTTAAATGATATTTTCGATGTCAACAGCAGATCGATGCAGATGTATGGAAATAAGATGATGGAACTATCAAAACAGCTTATGACAATTCTCTTGAGGTGTCTGGGTGATGGTTTTGATGCAAAGTATTACGAATCTGAGTTCGGTCGGTGCCATGGATACATGCGGATCAACAGTTATTCGGCGCGAGGGAACACAGAGCCCAAAGATTCACCTCCAAAGAACACAGAGTCTGAAGAAATTGAAGGTCTGGGAATGCACACAGACATGAGCTGTCTAACAATTTTGTATCAGGATGAGGTTGGTGGGCTTCAGGTTAGAGAAAAGGATGGGAAGTGGATGGATATAAAGTATAGTGAAGGAGAATTGGTTGTAAATATTGGAGATTTGTTGCAGGCTTGGAGCAATGGAAAATTCAGATCATCTCAGCACAGGGTTGTGTTGAGGAAGCCAAGCAGCAGAAGGCTTTCTGTGGCTTTCTTTTGGTGCTTTGAGGATGAGAAAATGATTGTGGCACCAGATGTTGGGGAGGAGGAGAGAATCTACAGGCCATTTGTTTGTGGAGATTATATAAAATTTAAAGTGATTAGCGAAAAAGGGAGGTTTGATAAGGTTAAGTATACTATTGATGATTTTGTTGAAATTGATGCTACTGCAGAATTGATGAATAAGGATTTCATGTAGTTGGCAAAGCACTGCACATTTTCTTCATAGATTGTATGCGCACATTCTGCATTGTAATCGGTGATATTTATGTTTCAGCTATGTAGTTTCAATTTTAAGATGTTAATAAGTATGGTGATTTGAAAATATGATGCAAATGTTTAAGGAGAGTGGTTTGATATTCGTAGAATAAAGGGCAGCGGAGAAAGTGGAGCAAAGTATTGCAGATGATTTTGTTTTGATTTAATGTAGCATTCATGATAAAATGTGATGATATACATTCCTTTGCAGAAAGGAAACGAGATACTGCCTTATTTGCAATATGTAAATTTGTACTGCAAAAATTTTCACAGTTTAAAAGCTCAAGAAAACTTTGGTGGAATTACAAGAATGGAATTGAAATTTCAAAAAGGTATTTACATACATACAAATAATTCTCAATTGTATCTACATATCTACCACCTAAAATTCGATATTTACAAGAGAGCTAATCAATGGAAAAGTGATGAAAAATACACAAAGGCAGGCACATTCAATGTAGGCATGACAGGCATTGTTGCATTACTATTACAAACTTCTACTCAATAAAAAAGGCTACTATTAGTGAGGTCTAATTAAATCATTCTTCAGATAGGCTCTACAGACTCATTTTCAGAAATTGATTATTCAAATAGTTCCTCCACGTAGCGTTTCAGTAAACTTTACTTGGCTGTGCAGTACTTTCTACATTTGGCTTTGGCCCACAAGAAAATGTTGGTTTTCACATCCAAGTTGTCGGAGAATATAGAAAGTATACAATGCAAAAGTAAAAATTTCAACTATGAAATCATATGCTACAGAACAGCTGCTGATGTGGAAAGAATCCTCTTCTAATTGCACAAATGGCCAAGTTTTAATTGAATTGGAGAAAATAAATAGTTCCTCCACTTACAACTAGTGAATGATCAATCATTACTAGTGCAATCAATACACCGCCTAACTCGCTAGTTACAAAAATTGGAAGGATTCTAACATCCCAAGTTTATCAGCCACGCCAAACAATTTCATGACAGCAAAAGCACAAATTTGGGAAACTTATCAATCTTTTATAGAGAATTCTAACGTTGTTTTTATTTTATTTTATTTTGCCTATTAAGACAACATTTACTTTGTGGAGATATTTTCTCTCTATGGCAAATTTGGATAGATGCATTATCAAACATTGCTGAGGAAAATAAAACATATAGTTCAATATCAAATCATAAGCTTGTTTTTTAATGGATTCTAGCCAAAGGAGGAAGATTCTTCATATTATAAAGAAAAGGTGGTACATTAAGCCTTCAGAATTATTTAATGCTAAGAGTGTACATTCGATTAGTTTGAATGGATTGGTTGACAAAATTAATAAACTAACAGGTTTTGGGTCTAAATTTCGAAATGCTAAACTGACCAAACTATACTCAGAACCAAACCCAACCAAAACCATAATGTAGATTGCATAATACCATTTAATTTTTGTTTGACAAATTTTAGAATTTGGAAAGTTAAATGAGAAATTTTGTTTTTCACGTTGTTTTTTTCTTTATTTTATTATAACCAAACAAATTGTAACATGAAAAGAACATACTTAGCAAAAGCCTCCAAATTCCCTAATATTAAACTGACCAAACTATACTCAGAACCAAACCGAAACTGCAATGTAGTTTGCCTTGTCCAACTCAGTTCTTGTTTGACAAAAAATTTAGTATTTGGAAATTAAAATGATAATTGGAAACGATGCAAGCTCGTTGAAGGTAGTGGAAACATTGCAACCTCTTGTCTTCTCATAGTAGTTAGATTGACACCGTTGAAGGTAGTGGAAACTTTGCAAGCTCTCGAAAAGTCAATCATGTAGGTGTTATCATTCCAAAGCTTATCCTGATAGAATAAGTATTTATTCACTTTTGGCACAACTTGAACTAGAGCTGCAAAACATAGATTCTCACGAGCCCAATCCCAAGTAAGTAAATCTATAACTTGCTTCTCCCAATCATCGTACTAAATTGGATGCATCTAATAAACAATTTTGTCACGAAGAATCAACTCGGATGAAATATATGGCAGGTGGAACCACAATGAAAAGTATAACACTCTGGAGAAACCTCTCCTCCGGTAATTTTCGTCCCCACCAAGCTCCAAAGATAGCTCCCAAAGTTGTGGTTCATCCATCCTTCCTGATCCTCTGTATGGGGATACATTGTTGAATAGATTTTAACACCCAACCGACTCCATATAGTCTTCCAAAAGTGGCACAAAAGAGCCTCATCTATGACATATTAAGCCACTTTCAGCAGAAGCAACTCACGAAGGAGTCTATTTATTTGAAAAGTTTGAATTTATCTCATATGGGATTCACGAGTGTTTAGTGTCAAGTCCTGGGACTTAGGACCGTTTTGGACAAACAATGTGAATTCTATTGGAGTCCCCCTTATGACCTCAGCTTGAAGCTTTTCTCCTTCATCAGTTGGAATCTGGTTCTCCTTTGCGTCATCATCTTCGTCAGTATCTACTATGTAATTGCTCCGTCCTTCAACAGCACCCCGCTCAATGAAATATATCACCACCCTGGTTATGCAATCTGCTTCAATATGCCCAAATTTGTGGCACTTAAACACTTTATGGTTGGGACAGATTTAGAAATACTGGTCTGCTCCACCTTTTCCCTATCCTGAATATGTTTCTCATCAGGTGGGGTCAGCTTGGATGATTTGTTGGGTATACTCTGACTGTAAGATTCTGATTTTGAAACTTATTTGTAAGATGTGGTGGTCGTCCGGTGATATGGTTTCTCCACTTTTGAAGCTAGAGTCTGAACTTCTGGTCTATATCGAGCCGGTGAATAGTAGCGTTGCATCTCCCATTTCATCTTGGCCACAGATAGTGACCTTGCATTTTCTTTCACGCCGACAAATGTGTTTCAAATTTTTGCACCAAAAAAACACACTCTTCTTTAACTGGCTCATAACCAGCTTCAACATCTCGTCTGGTGGGACGCCCTGGCAAAGACACATTACAAGGTCCCATAGCCATTCAACAAATTCTTCTGGATTCATGGGACATCAAAATATGACAAATCTATATTTACTTCAAAATTTTGACTTCTAAGATATTTCAAGTCACAACTTCGAGGTAAATGTTCTTCATCCTAGGAATCCACATGATAGAAGTACACTCCATTCCTTCAACCTAGCAAGTAAGTGTTGTGGTTATTAGTGAACTATTCGGATTGCCTCCTCTCGAAGGTGGAAAGCCTCGGTTGTAGTTAGCGGGTTTCCCACTGTATATCCTCCCTAGAAATCTATTAGACACCTCTTTGTAAATTTCTCATAAACGGCATCGTGTCCTTTCCACTCTATCTGGCTTCCGACAATTATCTTCTTAGCGGCATGGCTAGATTTTGGGTGTGGGCAGATGGAAGGAGACATGTAAGGGGGATGTAGGGTGAGAAAGCAAACTTTTAGGTGGAGATACGTTTAGGTGTGGTGGCTGCTAGAAACCTTGGGATAAAAACAAGGTCAAACTAGCTCTGATACCAAATGATACTGAAGTTAAACCAAACCATAATAAGAAAAAAGAAAATTATTAGTGAAAGTAAATAGGTGACTACAATCAATACACTTGAAAGGGAAGATACAACAATAAAACACCTGAAAATCAAAAATAGCTACCACAGGATACAAAAATAATCAAACTAGGGTTGGATCCGGGGGTGGTGGTGGTGGTTGGTAAAGGCTTGGAAGGTGGCGGGGTGATGGAGGGTTCAGTTGGCAAGCAGAAAACCGTACTGTAGTGGTTTCCAATGGTTCAGGCGGCAAGCAAGGCATAAGGATTGATAAGGGAGCACAGTCCATCGCAACAAAAGCAACAATGCGGCCGGTCCGGAGCAGCAGGAACAAGAGTGCACCTAGTTTTGGGGTGCCAAAAGCAAGGTTGAATGGGAGGAGCAAGGGTTATGGATGGCGGCAGCAAGTTGGAAGGGGGAGGGTGTTGTTTATGGAGGCAACAAAGTGAGAGGAATGATGGTTGTTGGGAGGTGGAGAACAACAATGAAGATAGCTACAGGAAGCTGTCAAAGCGGCCGCATCAATGGAGGATGGCTAGGAGCATCGTGGGGAAGATGTAGAATGGAATCGGGAAGATAATCATTACATCGGGAGAGAAATACAGCCAAAACATCACCCAATCCCTTGAACACAAGCCTCAATAAGAGAAGAACAGACACCAATGGTTGTCCTAAATAATACACACTAAAAACTAATTAAAAACACAAAACAACATATTTCTAGGGAAATCTACGTAAAGGAAGGGCCTCCCTCCTGGAGCTATCCAAACCATCTCGCTCGCAGGAGTTTACGGTACTTTAGCAGTGCTGTAGCAATGGTTGCAAAAAATACCTCCTAGTCGCTCCTGCGTCAGCATGTATGGATGCGATTTAGGAATTTGGATACTGAGCCTAGGGAAATTATGACCTTCCGATCATTAAGCATGAATGAATCTAGTCAATTCTCCATTTCACTTTTCCAATCCTTGTTGCAAGTCTAAGAATGGTGACTAGGGCAAGCGACTCTTCAAGTTCAAGTTTCTTTGATATTTAGCAAATAAAGGATCGGGAACTCAGCTATTAGCAATTACTAATTACACATCTAAGCTGCTTGTCGCTACACAGAACAAAGGCAGAAGGCTTACTTGCATGGGCCTTTCTTCTTTTATTTGTTTTTATAATGTTTTTGGAGAATTTTATAGATTATAATAACAAACCAATTCAACAACCATAAATCAATAATTTAAAAATACAATCAATAAATAAATCGCTATTTACTGAACATAACTAAAAATATCTATAAATTGAACTAAATCATCCAAGTAGGTAATGAATAGCCCTATTTAGAGCAACGATTTAAAATTTTAGATTGTTTGTTGTTGGTGTAACTTATTACGTAATATTATTATTGTCTTTCATCTTTTAAATGAGTGCCTTAGATAATTGCCTCCAAAATGTTTCAACCACTAAATCATGAGAGAGAAAGAGAGAGATGACTACAGCAGTCCAACCAACAGTTACACATACATAATATTATTTGAAAAAAGTTCTAGAAATAGTTTCTGCTTCAGCAGGGTAGAGCAATGCT